ATTGCCAGTAAATGTCAAGCAGCCAGCAGGAGGCCTTCCTCTGATGACAAGGACACCACATCCTTTTCTTTTTCTAACAAACCAAGGTGCATTTGACCCCAGGGCTTGGTTAGGCTCACTCTGTTCCTACATTTCTTTTTGTGAAGCCACATGGAGTAGTCTTTCCTGGTTTTTTAGGTTAGAACACTAAAAATAGAAAGAAATTAGCTGAAAGCTAAAAATATATAGAAAAAATATTAGCCGGGCATGGTGGCACATGCCTGTAGTCCCAGCTACTCAGGAGGCTAAGGCAGAGGGATCGCTTGAGCCCAGGAGTTTGAGGTTGCTGTGAGCTAGGCTGATGCCATGGCACTCTAGCCAGGGCAACAAAGCCAGACTCTGTCTAAAAAAAAAAAAAAAAATGGTAGCCAAGGGCTCTGAATTGGCCCCCACTGGTGGGCAGGTGACCTGAAACCAATCAACAAAGTCTGGGACCTTGGTCACCCTGCTTTCCCCCTTTGCTTTGCAGGAGGAGGCAGAGGAAGAGGCCGTAGCTGAGGAAATTTTCACTGTGGAGCCCATACCCCATTTATGTCGGGGGTCACGTGGCCGGCGTTCCAGCTATGCCTTCTCCCACCCTGAGGGCTACGCAGACCTCATCACTCAGGGCACAATTCTGCGGAGGCCACAAGGGATCAGCAGTGAGTTGGTATCTGATTCCCCAGTCCCATCTGAAGAAGAGCTGTCCTGGAGCCCAGATAGCTCATGCTGGCATTTCAGGAAATTGTTGTCCCTGGGGAGGCTGAGACACCACCAGGGGGAGGTGTCCTCCAAGGAAATGAATCCTTCCGCCATGAGCTCATCCTTGTCTATGGACTGGCAATCCGCTGTTATTTCAGACGGCCAAGTTTCCCCCACAAAAAAGTTGCCCACCGGCATGAAAAGGGCATCTGGGTCTTTCCAGAAGTTGCGGATGGTACAGGAGAGGCCACTCTCACCCAAGCAGAGGCCACCTCTTCCTCAGGATCTGCTGTCAACCAAGGAGGGGTCCCTTTCTCTTCCGAAGGAGCCAGCACTGCCCAAAGAACACCAGCTGTCCCTTCCAGAAAGTCAGCCACAACCTTTGGCAACCAAGCCATTGCCTTTGGGCCAGTCGTTTTGGGGCAACCAGACTGAACCCTCACAGGAGAAGCCGTCACCTGGGAGTACTTCAGTACCTTTGGGGGAGAGCCAGCCATACATCTCACCAAAAGAGCCCCACGCCTCCAAGGAGGGGACAGTGGTGGAGGCTCTGCCAAGTACACAAGAGTCATCTTCGTAGGAGCAGCCTATGGAGGTAGAGCCCTGGCCCACGGAGAAGCAGCCAACACCCAGCGAGCACCAGTTTCCACCTGAGTTGGCGGAGGGGCCATCCCTGCCCCCAGAGGACCATTCATTGCCAGTAAATGTCAAGCAGCCAGCAGGAGGCCTTCCTCTGATGACAAGGACACCACATCGTTTTCTTTTTCTGATAAACCAGGGTGCATCTAACCCCGGGGCTTAGTTAGGCTCACTCTGTTCCTATACTTCTTTTTTTGAAGCCACATGGAGTAGTCTTTCCTGGTTTTTTAGAACACTGTCCCCTAGTGGCCCATAGGGTATTTGCAGCGAAAGCCTTTTTCTTCTTTGCCCTGGGGTAGATCACGAGAGTGAGCATTGCTCCTAAAAGGAAGAAAGGTATGAGCAGACTCTGCTTAATGGTCTTTCTCCCTGTCACTGCCGGCTGGCTGGCCCCTCCCCCAAAAGTTTGTAAACTCCAATTCTGGCACCATTTAGCCTCTTCCTCCACCAGGCTGCCCTGGTCTCTTCCCTTCAAATAAACCTCCTTTCACTTTAGACTCTCGAAAGCAGGGGGCAATGACCAAGTCTTCAGCAGCAGGTCCTAACATGGTCTGCATCTTGGGGCATGGTGGACTGAAACACACCAAGCTTTCCTGATTCTTAACTGTTCCTGGTGGAGGGTGGAACAGTGTGCGCCAGCCCTGGGAAGCTCCCCAGCACCCGGCCAGCACCCTAGCAGCGCCCTCCTGTCCAGGCCCCCGCCCAGGCTGTCCCCTCTGCATGGCCATGTCCTCACCCTTCGTGTTTCACTTCATACTTCCCAGCCCGGCCAGGCTGGGCCTTGCGCCGCCGCTGGGCGCCCCCCGCTGCCCTCCGTGTCCCCCATCCCAGCTCCGGAGGCCTCCACTCCTCCACTTCTCTCCGTCTGGTCGTCTGGCGAAGCCAGAGCGCCCAGGGCGGGTGTCTGAGTCACCGTGTCCCCCGTGGCCGGCGGGACAGGGCTGGCCCTGGCCTCTGGGAGGCTGGGCGGGGCCTGCACCCATTCAGCAGATACGGGAAACTGAGGCTTGTCAGCGGGAAGTGGCGGGGTCGTGCTGTGGAGAGGAGGCCGGGGCGGCCGGGACACCCCGCCAGTCAGGGTCAAAGACACAGGTGCTCGCCTCCGTCCCGCCCCCGCTGGTCCGACCAGAACCCCCTTCGCGGAGGCCCCTGGAGCCCCGCACCCTCCGCGGCCCAACCGCGCGAACCTCGAGGGGGCACTCTCTCCGCCGCCGCTGCGACCCCGCAGACCTCAGCCGGGACGGAGCCCAGAGAGGGTGCGCGGGCCCCCGGGGACGCACAGCAGTGGGGACGCCTCCGCTCACCTGCGCGGGCCAGGGCGGACGGGGCCGGGCTGCCTCGGGCGGGCCCGAGGCGTCCAGGTCGGCGGGCATGGTGGAGCAGTTATCCCGGCGCCAACCGCCCTGGAACGCGTGACGCGTTCCCCGGGGCGCGGCCAGGGCGGAAGGTGCAGCCAGAGAGCCTGCAGAAAGGGATGAGTAGGGGCGGGGCCACGGTAGGGGCGGGGCAGCGTGGGGCCAGGCAGGAAGGTCGGGCAGGTAATCGCAGGTACGAGGGGCGTGTGTGTGGTCCATGAACCTGGATCTGTCGTTCATCCATCCCATACGCGTTAAACGAGCGCCTGCTAAGTGCAGGTTTAGTGCTGGGCGCCAGGCTGGGGTTACAGCATTTGAACCCATCCCAAGACCAGGGGGAAACCTACGGGGTCCTGTCCAGAGCGGCACCCACCCAGCCAGCCGGGCTCGGGGCAAGGCCTTCCCGGAGGACTTTCTCCCCTCCAGAAATCTGTGCTCAAGCGTCAGACTTGGGCCCCCAGGTGCTGGGGCTGAGGGTCCCTCAGCATCTCTGTTCCATGAAACTCTTCAGCTTGGCTTTTCTTTCTTTGTCCTTTCTTTCTTCTTTCCTTCTGTTTCCTTTGAGACAGGGTCTCACTCTGTCACCCCGGCTGGAGTGCAGTGGCATCATCACAGCTCATTGCAGCCTCCAACTTCTGGGCTCAAGTGATCCTCCTGCCTCAGCCTCCCAAGCAGCTGGGACCACAGGTGCCCAACACCATACCGGCCAGCATTTATACTTTAAATGGAAATTGAAGGCCTGAGCACCCCTGAGCCTCCCCCCACCAAGCCAGAACAATTCACAAATGGGGGCTGATTCAGCTGAGGTTGCTTGGGGCTGTGCGTGCGCTGCAAGCTTTATGGTTTTTGCTGGCAGGGTGACAGGCAGCTCTTGGTGGGCTGGGGTCCCCACCCCTTCCCTGGGACATGCAACAGGAAATTGCCCTCCTGGTCTCCTTAAGCCCCCTGGACAGTCTCTGGGCACCCCTATCCCCACCGGGAGAGAGGCTAACTTCATTCCCAGGGCCCAACCCAGCGCACCTCACACCCTGTGCAGGGGACACCACCCACCGTCCCTCAGAGAGGGGCTGGAAGCTGACAGGCTGCAGAGGTGCAGCCACCCAAGGCTTCAAGCTGGTTTTATGAAGGTGAACAAGGTTCACTGTCATGCGCGACAAGCGCGCTGCACTTGCCTCCGTGGGCCACCTCTACCGGCCCTACGTCAAGAAGCTGTCCGCCATGAGGTCGCCGCTGTCGTCGCTGCCCAATGAGCTGCCACCAGCGCTGCATGGTGCCCTGCAGCCCCTGCCGCGGCCGCCGCCCCCGCCGTTGGCCAACTACGGTGCGCCAGGCCACCTGGCCGGGGACAAGCTGCGGCCGGCCTCCGCCTTCGAGCCGCAGACCCGCAGCTGGGACGCGCTTGCCCGCGGGCTGCCCGGAGGCGGCGGCTGCGCGGGCAGCCGCGGAGCGGGTGGCGGAGGCGCCCCGGGGCTTCTGGCGCAGCTGGGCGGGCTGGCAGCGGCCTGGGCACACGGGCAACACGCGGAAGACGGCGGCCCCAAGGAGATCAACACCAAGGAGATGGCGCAGCGCATGACGGCGGAGCTGAAGCGCTACGGCATCCCTCAGGCCATCTTCGCGCAGTGCATCCTGTGCCGCTCGCGGGGCACGCTCTCCGACCTGCTGCGCAACCCCAAGGCGTGGAGCAAGCTCAGATCCCGCCGCGAGACCTTCCGCGCAGGATGTGGAAGTGGCTGCAGGAGCCCGAGTTCCAGCGCATGTCTGCGCTGCGGCTCGCACCGCCCGACAGCGGGGGCGGCGGCCCGGGGCTCCCCAGCACCGACCGTGCGCC